AATCTAATATTAGATTAATATTAATATCCGCTAAAAATTATTTATTTCGTTTATAATTAATAATAAAGCTGATAATTACGAAAGTAGATTGAAAAGAAATTAAAAATTAAAGTAGATATGCACTTAAATATTTTACTTAATATGTCAATTATCAATTTTATTGTTTTCCTTTCATTATTGTCACCTGTCACCCCAATATCGACCACGTTAATAGATAGAAAACGAATATGGAAGTTACTATGCTTGTGATACTGAGTACATGGACATGTTAAAAGAAGTTTTCATTAAAAAAGTCGGCAATAAAGCTCTTTTGTATACAACCGACGGTGCAGCTGCGTCTTTACTCAGATGCGGATTCGTATCTGGGACATATGCCACCGTCGACTTTGGAACGGCCAACAACGTGACCAACAGTTTTCTGTCTATGCGTCTTTATCAGCCAGGGGTAAGCGATATTGCTGTTTAAGAAAAATCACGAATTATGTAATAAAATTAAGATGTTTCAATCAAGTTTGCAAATTGATACGTAGGGCCCGTTGGTGAATTCTGAATTCTATCCAGGTTGGTTAACGCATTGGGGAGAACCCTTTCAAAGGGTAAAAACAGAAGCTGTTGTAAAATCGTTGAAAGAAATGCTTGCTCTAGGTGCTTCCGTTAACTTTTACATGTTTTATGGGGGTACAAACTTTGGCTTCACTTCTGGTTAGTAAACTTTTTGTTATAGTTTCGCAAATTGGCAAGTAAAATTCCCGTAAAAATAATATTTAGGGCAATTAATATTAATCACATTAATTATATGTACTTTATTCAACGTAATGATCATCGACAGGAGCTAATGGTGGGGCAGGTGTATACAGTCCACAATTGACTTCGTATGATTATGATGCTCCTTTGACTGAAGCCGGAGATCCGACACCTAAATACTTTGCTATAAGAGATGTTATTGGTCGCGTACGTTTGTAATTTCTTTTGTAATAATACGCTGTCGCATTTTCTGTTTGACATTTTATATTTTACAAAAAGATTACTCTTCATCATATTACTCTTATTAGAAAACGGAAATGCATAATAAATATTTCATATCTCTTTTAAATAAGTCAATTCACGTGCGTGCGCTTTGAAATTACAGTATTTGCCATTGCCAAACATGTCCCTCCCGACTGCATCTCCAAAAGGTAATTACGGTCCAGTATTATTGGAACCGGTACTGAAATTGCTCGATAGTCGATCTCCATTTGTGGTGGTTCAAGCAACTGGAGACCGGCCTAAAACCTTCGAGGCTCTTTCCGTGAATCAAGGATTTGTCCTTTACGAGACGAATTTGCCACCTTCTATCTCAGACCCGGCTATACTGCAAGCAACGACAAGGGATAGAGCGTTGATTTATGTGGATAATAAACTACACGGCACTTTGAGTCGCATAGATAAGATATTTACTATCCCTCTAGAAAGTCCTTACGGCCGCCGCTTAAGTCTATTGGTGGAGAATCAAGGACGTTTGAATTTCGGCAATGAAATTAACGATTCCAAGGTATCGAGGAAATTGTTAAAATAGAATAATACGCGCATATGACGGTAGCGACAATTTTTTTTAAGTATTTATATATGTATTGCGCGTGCATGATAATATACTAATATACGTAATTCAATGAACGCAAATGACATTTTAGCATTAATTAAACATACGATAATTCTACGATATTTGATTCTTTTCATATCTGATTGTATCTCAGGGGATATCGGATGTGAATATCAGTGGCACACCGCTAACCAATTGGAATATGACAGGGTACGCATTTTCCGACGTATCCTCTCTCCGGGACATAACAACCATACGTATTGACAGCGGGACTTTGAATAACGGACCGGCATTTCTGCGTGGAAAATTCACAATCGTCGGGCAACCGTTGGACACATATCTAGATACCACCGGCTGGGGAAAAGGAGTAGCCTTTGTAAACGATCACAATCTTGGGAGATACTGGCCGTTAGTAGGTCCGCAAATAACCCTGTATGTACCAGCTCCTTATCTTCGCACAGGCGAGAATGAGTTGATCATATTGGAATTGGAATATGTGTCGCACACGAGAAAGATGAAGTTCCAATCCGTACCGAATTTGGACACATTATAAATTTAACTCATAACTTAGGTAGAAGTATTATTGGATTATTGGATTGTACACTTCTTGCTTTTAATACAATATAACGAAATATTTCGAAATATCGCGTTTCTAAACTTGTTTTACTTACTAAATAGTTTACTTATCCTTTTCTATAGACAACACATTTATTTTAAACATTTATTTCTAAAAATAAATTAAAAATAAATTTAGTTAAAAATAAACGCATAAAAAACATATAAGGAGTTTAACGAGCAATTTTCAAACGTGATTAAGGAAAGAGAGCGTAAAACAAATTTATCTGCTATCCTATCTCGTATCCTATTGTCCTTTTAACAGAAGTAATAATTGATGCTAGCCTGATTTCATAAATTATGATATAACACATAAATATATAAAATTTCATGCGTATGAGTTACTCAACTACAATAAAGAAAGATTCTTATGCTCGTATTTATAGTCAGTGCCCCTATTTATATTTAAGGCTTCCTTATGCCCGTATTCATAGTCATACCGGTATTTATATTTAAGACTTCCTTAAGTTTATCTTTAGATGCTCTGTAGGCAATAAAATAATTTGTAGAGCATCTGAAGATAAATTTAAGGAAGCCTTAAATATAAGTCTGAATAGGGGCTATGAATACAGGCATTAATTTTAATTTTATCTTAAACAGTATTTGTACTTAAGGATGTATTATATATATTTTTCAACCAAATGAAAACAAATTATGAAAAAATTACTAATTTTTCTTTGATTATATCTGAAAGTAATACGAAAAATTTAGCGACGATTTATAAGTACTTGGATACAAAATTATTTCAATAAAACTCCATTTTTAAAAAATAATTAAGATAAAATGAGAAAATTTTTATTTAAATTATAAAACTGTATTGTTAAATATAAATATGACCTTAATGAGAATTATTTCATATATACAAGAATAAAAATAAATATAGGTTTTGTTCTTTACTATCTAAAATATATTTGCGGTATGTTGGTAATTGTGATATACAAATAAATTTTTTTAATGTAAAGAATACATTTCAAAAAATTTTATTTATAAAAAAAGACTTATTTCTTTTTGTAAATGGAGTGTCGTACTACGAAATCGACGTTATACGACGCAAGAAAATATTCTACGATAAAATAAATTAGATGGAACATACATATATCTCATGAGAATGACAGAATATCCTGTTTCCTTGAAGAAAAATCTTATAATATTATAATTGGAGGATTATTTTTTAGAAGAAACTTGGAATTTATATTAATTGGCCTGTCAATGGGTTTACTGTTTTGAGAACACGTTATCCGAATACTTAAGCTGAAAAAAGACTCAAGAACATTTAACGGCAGTTTACGGAAAAATCGATCAGTTTCGATAATACTACACCGCTACACAGCAAAAATATACACATTGTCGCCTATGGTCGATGAAGAACCGATTTGTAAAGATCCTGCGAGACATTCAATAGCTTTAATATCCTCCCCGTTGACAAATGAGGGTTTCGCACGGCAGGACGTCCGATGGCCCGATGCCACACGACGAATTATCTCACCTCCTCTTTCGTGCCAATGCTTCCGTAGGCGAATACCATAGATAATAATGAGTACGGTGACAAAGCACTATCAGTTGTACCTGATTCATAAGCTTTATCCATATAATAGTCTGTCTCACGATCTAATAATATATACATAACGTATTTTTATACGGTGGTACTATAAACAAATGGATTTTGAGAAATCCATTTATTATAAACATAAATTTAACCAGGAATATTTTTGTTGAATGTGAATTAGATAAAAGATCGGTTATGGAAGTATCTTTTTTTGCAAGTCAGTTGACTAAGATTTATGGCATTTTAGATTTAAATCGCCATTTACGTATATACCATTTACGAATCGCCATTAACGAAATATAATAACGATGGATAAAATTATTAGAATAGTCGTTTTTTCATTGAGAATTTTATATAGTTTATAAAAAGAGTCATGTAAAATCAAACGATTTTATATCATAGATATGTTCTATATAACTTCGGAACTTTATAAAGTTCTGAAGTTGCATAAAAAGATATTCTAAATATGATCTGATATAATATCGGGATATTCTATAATTTTTATCATGCGATTAACGTATAATTTTTTTATAAGAGAAATTTTTAAACGAGTCTAAACCTTTTACATGTTCTTTTCTTGCATGCGCTATTTGTGAAACTTATATTGTATCCCCTTGTTGTAGGTAATGATTAGTACCAGACGGTAACAGTAGTATAATGTTAAACGATATTACCTCAGAAATTGAAAGTCATGCTGGATTATTAAAAAATTAATTAAAGATGTTTAATTATATATTTAATAAACTTTAGCAATTTTGATCTACTTATATTATCTTAAGATTTTGCGCCAGTTTTATGCGGTTGAGGTTGATGTTAAATCTTTCTGGAGATAAAAAGAATTTTCATATCTTTAAATGAAATTTTTTTATGTGAATGATGGCTAGAAGCGTATGGATTATGTTCTCTTTAATTTAATGTAACATTCTTCTTTTGATTTATTGCAATTTATAACAAGAATAATGTTTTACTGGAATTCTAAGACATATTACACAAGCAATTGTAAAGCATTTTACGGCCATCAAACTCCGCCCTTTATGAAAACGCCGCCTTCGACATGCGCCGAAGAGTCGTTCGCGGTTGCATCGTTTCTTACCTTTAATCACGCGTTTAATCTAGTCCGAAGTAGTAATATGCTACGCGTGCGAAGAACCGTGTAATTTGATACGTCAAACTTATTTATTTGTCCTAAATTCAATTGTTCATTCAAATTGAATTGTGTATTGAAAATTGACAAATTATCGATAACAGCAAATTATCGTAATGTTCGGTAAGTGTACAACATAATTGAAATACAAATTTGTTAATAGAGATTAAATTATGATAGTATGCAAAAATATATTGAAGTGAATAATAAGTTAACAGATACACCTTAAAATAATATGTCTGTTTTTTGAAAACTACATATTTTTTGTGTGAAAATATTTCTTGTCTCACTAACTATTAAAATAGTGTCGGACATTTTTAATAATTTAATCGAACAGTTAACTGATGCAAACAATAAGTTACATGATCAACTTGTAAGACATACTATATAGTGCTATTTATTGAATTTATCATGTAATTATTTACAAATGAGTAGGTTTATATTAGATACAATTACCATATAACTAACTAAGTAAATATGTTAATACAATAGTATGGAACGTAACGCAGAATGCACCCTTGGATTTGAGCAGACATGGGACTGCATGGAAAACTAACGTTACTAATACTTTTAAATTTCAACGACGTCTTCCCTGTCAAACTTGCGGTAAAAGTTTTGACAGACCTTCTCTTTTAAAAAGACACCTGCGAACACATACAGGTAAATTAGAGATTCTTTTAATCCTCCTCTTGTGTTCATTACCTGATCTCGTTTCGGCAAACTTTTTCCTAAGATAAAATTACGCTTAAGTTTTTTTTTTGACGATGCAAGATCTAAGATATATAATAGATTCTATTCTACTGCATATATCAAGAGAGAAGAGGACTATATAGAAGTTTGAAGAAAAGCTAATATTTGAATTCATTGATTTTTTAGAATTTTTGCTGTGTGAACTTCCAGACGTACTACATACACAAACACATATATACACTATACTATTTATAAATTCGAGAACGATTGTGATTTTCTCGTATCTCGTGAAAAGTTAAACATCTTGGTGTGAAAAAAAACATAAAAAAGTTTTAAAAAAATGCATTTTAAAGAAAAAAGATAGAACTTTAATTCTATGTTTTAGTCTCGTTTCCACGATAATTTCTTTCTAAATTATATAAAATTAAAAATTAGTACTTTTAAAATTTTTTTTCATCCAGGTACTTAATTTTTCGTAAGATACGAAAAAATCACAAGCGTTTTTGAAGTTATAAATAGTATATACTAAGAGTTTTATAATAAATATAAAAATTTGTTTGAAAACTAGCTTTTTCTTTCATATTTTTACATGTAATTAACATTTAAAAAACTATTCTCAGGCGAAAAACCACATGGATGTGCAATATGTGGTAAAATGTTTAGCACAAGCAGTTCATTAAATACACACGTTAGGATTCATACTGGTGAACGTCCTCATGAATGTCCAATGTGTGGGAAGCGTTTTACGGCATCATCGAATTTATATTATCATCGCATGACGCATTATAAGGTATTTTTTTCTGAATTCCTTGAATTATTATGCATTACTAATGCGACTTGAAAATGACCAGCTTGGTATAGGTAAATATAAATCGAGAGAATAAATTATCATTGTATAATAATTTTTTCTTAGAGTAAAAGCATTCTAATTATCAGATTTATATGATAATTATCATACACACACACACACACACACATATATATATATATATAATTTGAAATTCAGGAGAAACCACACAAATGTGATGAATGTGGACGATCCTTTCCTACTCCCGGTGATTTAAGGGCTCATGGATATTCTCATACCGGTAATTGGCCTTTACGTTGTTCCATCTGTAATAGGGGATTTTGCAAATTCGGCGCATTGCATCATCATATGAAATCACATGGTAATAACAATACTTCAACAATTAGAAAATATAAAATTTATTTTATTTTATTGTACACCGACCTTTATATCAATCAGCTATAGATATTAATCATTGCTTCCTTATTAATCTAATTGATAAATTGATAATTGATAAATTAATCGAGCTAATCAATGATACGTTAGTAAAATTTTGGAAAAAAATATTTTCAAATAGATTTTAAGTTCAAGTTAGGAATATTAATAAGGAGGACACAATAATGTTTCGTTATTATTCTTTAGTAATATACAGCAAGAGACCAAAAAAAGTCACAAAATGTAATTGTAAAATATCGATAGATCATATCTATATATTCGTAGTGAATATATAACGAATTATGATATAAGTATATACGCAAAATTCTTGTTTATAGGTGATCATTCTTGTTACGGTATCTACAATCAGAAGTCTCCCGTCATCAATGATTTACGAATTCATGAGCGTTTACAACATTTGCATGTGTCAAATAATAATGCAGCTGATCTCTCCCATACAGGTACTCATAATAATATTTCAAGCATAGAGATTATCAAATTTGAAGGTTTCAATAACAATTACATACAATTACCTACAATGTATCCATGGCCTTCTCTTCCTTGGATGCCATTACAATTCTCAAATTAATTTATTATATTTTCTGCAACTAATAAACCAAATTTTATTAACTTCTATAAAAGTAGTAATTAACAGAAAAAATATATATATATATATACACATACATACATATATATGATATGTTTATTCATTGTCTAAAAGAAATGTGTAATATAATAATGCACAATAATATAATATGAGTAAAAGTAATATTTCTAGACTTTGCCTTTCTTTTTTTTACCTCTCTTCCCTCTGTACAAATATCTGTACCTATGTATTCTTAATTTTTATTTAAATGTCGGAAAACAATATAATATTATACATAGTGCAAATCAAAAGAAGATTGAAGATAATGCAATAAATTGATAAATTAAGTTAGAGCATATCAATCATTTGTGAAAAAATTGTAAAACTGCTGATGAAAAAGTTAATATAATAACACTCAACTTTCAGATAAATCTTTCTATGTATTAGATTTTACAAAAAGAAAAACGGTATTTATTTTTGTTGGTAGGGAAACTGAGAATATAAGTCTTGAATCATGTAAATTACTTCATGTAAATAAAATTTATAAAATTTATAATTATTTTTTTTATAAAATCCAATACTTATACGGATTTTATTAATACTGTATTATATATTCTCTACTTAATATTATATTATATATAAATGTAATAAACACAATAGGATTTTTCACTTAATTTGTTATACTTTGGTCTATTTAATGATCTAAAATGACAACTTACATTTTTTATTGCTCAACATTATAAATGAAAGAAAAAGGTGATTACTAGATTTATTACAAATATTAAATACAATAGCAACACATCAATAATATAAAAATAGCTTATATTTTTTGAAGTGCATTAATTTTCTAATATGGCAAGAAATTAAATATAAATAAAGCTTATTAAATATGGCATATAATTATAGATAATACATATGTATCGTCTTATGTGTACAACTTAAAGAGAACGTGTATTTTTATGTCTCATAACTAATAAGTCTACAAAAATAAAATGTATATCAATATGTAATATCTTTAATAAAAGTAAAAAAGTATTAAATATTTTCACAGGTAATAAAAGTATTGTAACTAATGATAATTTTCATTATGACAAATGTATATATTGTAACAGAAAAATAAAAGTAATACTATTATCCACGTTTTTTGTTGTACAATAGAAAGATACTACTATTTTATATATACTATCCAAGCAATATTTATAGTGAAAAATATAAATTTTAATTTTCTTTCAATTAAGTACGGACTTTTATAGGTCGTTTATGGATTATATTTTGGATATTATTTTCTAATAATCACAAAATCTTAAATATTAAAATTTTATAGAAATAGCAACAAACAGTGCGTAAGTAGTACAAGATAAAGACAATGTATTTCATAAATCAACATTTATCTCTGTACAACTAATATTAATATTAATGAGTATTAAAAAATTGTTAATCCAGTATGTGAGGTACGGACGCATATACTTGGATTATATATATAATTTTATAAAGAAATAAAAATATAAAAAAATATATATAAATTTCACAGATACAGATTTTTCTTTCTCAAATATATATTTTTTAATTATTGATATACAGTTGATGTAAATAAACTCAATTAACACAACAAAAAACTATGCGTTTCCAACGACATCGTTTATGATTAGTATTTCTTCTTAAATCTGAATTGTACGTGCTAATGTCCGAAATAGTTTCACTTAGTAAAGAACCATGAACTGATACAGTCTCGTTATTTTGAAACCATTCTGGACTATCAGCATACATCAATACACGATTGGATTGCTTATCAACTGTTATGTTCATTTTAGGACTTGAAGTATTTTGATTAGATACAAGTGCAGTACAAGTGGAAATTTTTGATTTGTTTCGAACAGGATTCTCGTATACATTAATTTCAGAATCAATGTTACGATTTACGATTGCATTAGTCATTTTTACAGCTCTATTACTGGAACACATTTTAGCTTCAAAGTTTGGTAGGGTTAAATTATTTTTTATAAGTGACTTCTTTTCTGATACGATTGTTTGAAACGGAGAAAGCGTTAAACGTATCTTGCTCAAAGTAAGATCGTTTTCATCAAAATTAAAATTAGGTGTTAACGGAGTTTGAGGTTCTTGGATATTTTTCTGAATCTCTATCTCCACATGTGACAATATCTGTTTTTCCAAAAATATTCTAAACGTACGTTTACTTAACTCAGCATTTCTCAAATTTGTCCTATAACTTTTTTTGTGCAAAACGAGAGAGTCATTGACATCTGTTATCATTTTGGATGAGTGTGGTCTATAAAAAAAATTGGTAGTATCATGATGTCGACATAAAGAAGAAAATGAAGGATGATTAATGGAAAAATCAAATGTGCGTGTAACCTTATTATTAACGTCAGATGAATTTTGCTCAGTTGAGATACAGCATTCATTTGAAAGGTGACTTGAATCATTGAAGGTTTCTAATAAATTTTTTGCCTCCAATTGTCACTTGCATCCAAAAAATGTTTGATCACTTTGTCTGCGATGTTGATACGTTAATGGTACAACTAGTCGACTGTCTTTACTCTTGTAATATTCATTAAAATCTAATCGTACACTAAGTAATTGCAACGACACATCTTCAGCGGAAGCAAGCATCAATAAAAATTTTTTTACACGATCCTAAAAAAAATATACATCTTTAAAAACATATATTGTTTTTTTTTTCGAAGACAGATAGATACATTAAAAGAAAGCAATTGCTTTTTATATCTTATTTTAAAGATTATGAACAATATATAAATTATTACTCTATTACGACCAAAGAATCATGTAGATAAGAAAATAGTAATGATGATAAATACAAAACTAGAATATAATAGCATTGTTCGTTTTGTCTCTCGGAAGCTACTCGGATCGCTCCGAACGAATTCAGCGTAATTGAAACGTAGAATTCACACTACGTACGACATCCAATATCCTTCGTAACGATGAATACGTAGTATTGAATCCTATGTTTCAAATACGCTGGGTTCATTCGGAGCGATCCGAGCAGTTTCCGAGAGACAAAACGAACAGTGCTAATATTCCACTTCATTATTACCTGATAGGTTCTCGAAAGTAGTCTCAATTGTATTGAAAGTGTATTCAAATATTTTGAGAACGCTTTGTCTCTTCCTTCAATTTCTTGATCTTTTTTATTTGTACGACCCCATTTCTTTGTTTGCTCAGATCTAAAATTATCATCATTTAATCTTGCCTCATATTCCTGAGTAGCACGCGCAAGGAAAGTTTCCTCAAGATTCTGAAGGTCTAGTATTGGACTGTAAACTGAGCGTAAGTGATCCATAAGTTCCTGTAACACCAAGAGTAGTACAAGAATATATGCGTTCGTATGTATATAAATATCACCTAATACTTACTTGCGATTTTTCATCCAACAATGTACCATGTCTTACAGAATCAACAAAATGACTATGAGCTGCAATTATATCATCAAGGGATGACGCCTGAAGAAGTTGCTTCGCAAATGTATCCCAAGAACATTCGATTACCTTCAATTAATGTAAGTTTTTCATTTGTTAATGTGCAATATATACAACAGTTTCCATCATTAAATTATTCACTATTAAATTAATGACAGATTAATAATCTAAGATTATTAACAATAGCTTAATATAACATGTTAAATTACCTCAAATAAAAAATAATATTGCATTTGATGAACTAAATGAACCATGCTACTAGTAATTAGATGAATATGATTCTGGATAGGCAATACTTCCGGCATTTTTCTGAACATTTTTGCTGATGTTGTCTGTTGTTTCCAAATAGCAGATAAAATTGACTCCATTCTCTTTGCCTTCCACAAGGCAAAGAAGACCGTTTGATATGTCTGTCTACATGGCTCCAAAATCTAACAAGTTATTGATTATGATTCCTCAAATACTTGATGTATAGATTAAATATTACAATTAATATGTAACAATATTTTACCGTTCCTATAGGTCCATCAACATTATAATCTAAAATAAAAACGTCCCATCCTGTTTCACTTTCTGAAGGTGCTAATAATCTGACGTCTAAACGTTTTTGCACATCTAAATCATCTAACTTTGTACTAGTTGCCCTTATTGCAATTTCAAGTATAGATGATATATTATGAGGATATAAAGAACTTGCTGGTTTAGCTAATTCAGGTCTGAAATGTATAATTGAAATAATTTTTTAGAATTGAAATATATATGTTAGAACACAGAAATATATCATTTCTTTCTCTTTCTGCATGTATCATTAATACAATATAAAATTAATTCATATATATCAATAATATATTTTAAAATCTATATTAATATATATTTATGTATTAATATATTAATTATATATATATATATTAAAATATATATTATACAAGAGATATTCTTACTCTAATAAGTGCATAAGATGTTGAATAAAATGGCCTTGACCAAGCAAAAGATATCCCTTAATTCCCTGCAAATGATCCATAAGATGATATTGTTTTGTCAATATTTCAACAACTCTTGTTGAAGTTTCTTTATAAGCAGCATCCATCATAGTTTGCAAACGACCATCTGGATCCATATCAAAAAAGACTTCAACTAGAAAAAAAAATATAAAAATATTAAATGTCCTTCCAAGAGTTAGACAAAGTTGTAAATAATCTATTTGACATTAACCACAATTTTTATAAATTGCAAATATTTTCAGACGCAAATATTATCAAGAAAGACACTATTAAGATCATCTTGTAGCAAGATCAGTTGTTAATAGTTGAGACATGATTATTATTACTAACCATTATATTCCTCATCAGTATTCCTGAACATATCTGCATGTCTATCTTGCCATGGTGAAAAGTCTTTACAAACTTCACGCAAGAAATTAATACTTTTTCCTGTTCCCAGAATCTTCTTCGCTTGTGCTTTACTAAGGAAAGATGGCACCATTGAATTTCTCACTTGATATTTCTCATGCCACATTCTATCTCCACTAACATCATTGCACGCTTG